GCATGCCCTGCTGAAGACGTAAAGTGCGTTGTGCGTCAGTCCTTATCAGGGCTGTTCGTGCTTTGCAACAGCGTTTTCGCGCATACAGTCTCGGACGTCGAGCAGGCCTATACAAGCGACTGATCTGCTCGTGAGCGCGGGAACTACGCGCGCCACTATCAGGGCGGGAGGGATCGCATGTGATTGCCTGACTCCCATCAGCTAGCGTCTGATGTGGTGCGGCCTGCCATTCAAGGCAGTACGATGTCCCGCGGGCACTTCTGGCGCAAAGCCCGTCTCATAGTCTGGTGGTTATTCTCTTGTCGCGGTGCTCGCGTGCTGGTTTATCGCGTTCGTAACAGCCTCAGAGGGTTATATTAAGGCGTGTCAAGCGCATATATGCGCTTGTCACTCGGTGCTTTTCTGTTCGCGACGACTTACTGGGCCCGTAATCGGGCGCTCACGAGCTTTTTCGACACCTCCATCGTCTTTTTGAACGGGCGTTGAATGTGCGACATTTCGGCGATGTCGACTGACGATCTAGTACGTTGATTCCGCGCTCCGTGTGCAGGCTTGGGCCAAACAGCGGCCTGCGTCGTGCCCTTGCATACCACTGCCCTTGTTGCCTCGCGGTCGCCATGCGCTCTGGCAGTGTCTGGACTGACCCTGTGTGGGTCCTGGCACCGTGCATTGGCGTGTGGTCACCGAGATACGCCCTAGCGCGCGAGCGTTCCGTGGTCCACGGAACGCGTTCATGCTAGCACAGACTCTGTTCGGGAGCGGCGGACCACCACACAAACGTGGGCTGTGTTCCGCTTATGGACAGATGGGCCGCGAGTCCCGGGACGAATTGAGCCGGCTTGCCCGTTCGTCGTTGGTCTACTGCACTGCGTCGATTCGCGGAGTTTCTTGCGGCGCGGTCAATCATTCTTGGTGCCGACGCCTGGTCGGGAATGTGGGTTGTTGGGCGTCATTTCTTCACCCAAGCCGGGGGCATTCTCTCATTCGTTTGCTTCACCATGAACTTTCGAGAATGCTCACAAGAGTGTGACTCGCAGGCGTTGACGACGGGGCGCGGCGGCGCAGGCAACATCCACTCGAGCTCGATGGCCCGCCTGATCTCGCGTGTCGCGCGCCCCCAGGACCACCCACAGACGGCGTCGCTGCTCGCCGACCGCGAGGCGGCCGAAGCCGAGTACGAGCGCAGCGTGATCCGCGCGAGCGAGGAGGCGGCAAAAGCGCGCAAGCAGTCGTCCGGGCGCGGGGGTGCAGGGAACATCGCGCGGTCGCAGTCAAAGGGCCCGCGATCCAAGTCCAAGTCGTTCTCGAAGGCGCGACGGTCGTTCTCAAAGAGCCGGCGGTCACAGTCGCGTGACGACGAGGGCTCACAGGAGCCGCGGTCGTCGATGCATTCAGTGGGCCGTGGTGGCGCTGGCAACATCCAGCCTGGCTCGCCCGAGGAGGCGGAGGCGATCGACCAGCGTGACAATGAGGAGATGGAGCGTGCGCTTGCTGAGCACCCTGATGGAATGTAAGTCCGCTGGAGGCATTTTTGCGGCGCTCGCTGACGTGGTTCCAGGCACTCGACCGGACGAGGCGGTGTTGCGAACATCACTCCGCTGTCTCCTGGACCTGACTCTGCACCCCACGAGCACGAGCACGGCGCCGCAGAGCACACTGGGCGTGGCGGTGCCGGCAACATCTTCCGCACGCGGTCGCGCAGCGAGTCGAAGAAGCGCTCGAGCTCACGCGGACGCACTGGCCTTGGCCAGATGTGGCAGCGCGTGCGGTCGAAGTCGCGGGCACCAAGGGAGCACGAGGGTATCGCGCTGGACACGCAGCTGCAGGACATGACGATCTCGGAGGCGAACACCTCGCGCGAAAGCATGCAAGCGCCGCAAAGTTCACAGGCGGGCGCGAGCGGGGACCCGCCTCAGGGCGGGCAAGAATGACTCGCGGCGCCCACGGCTGCGACGGCGTGTGCGGCTGAGTCAGTGCGTGTGTACGCGATGTTTGTACGTGATTGCGGCACCAAATATATCTCGTTGAGACTGCGGATGGAAGATTGAATGCGGAGGGAAGATTCAAATGTAAGTCGCGTTGGAGGGGCATCTAGCGCACTGGGGGTGCATAACGCACTCGGCGTGTATAACGCACTGGGGGTGTATAACGCACTGGGGGTGCATAACGCACTCGGGGTATACAATGCACT